ATTGTTCATCTCACGGAAAAAAAATAATCATGGGGAAAAGCAAAATTAAGCGAAAAGCCAAAATGTATTTTTGCGGTCACTCGTCGCTGATCGTTACAATCACTGCTACACCAACTTTCGTAAAAAAAAACACCGTGGCCTTAATATGTTGACATTGACCCTTTTTGACAGCACAGAAAAGAGGCCAAGGAGGGGCAGAGACATTCACTCGCCACAGTTGTGACCTCGGTTTAATCATGGATGGCCACAACCCAGGATTCGAACCCAGGTTTTCAGTGGTGAAGGCTCAGTGTGGTGACCCACCGAGTCAGTCGGGTCAACCACTTCAGCTGGAAAACAAACAGAGCACCGGTAAACGCTCTAACCAGCGCACTCACGCAATCACCCGTTCATGAATGACCAGGCTCACTCACTGAACCGACTCATCGATTGCCCAACACGACGATCTCCACACACACACACATTAGGGGGTCGAGTTGGCGCAATGGTGACACTGAATGCCGCACAGCAAGAGGGCCTGGGTGCGTTCCCGACCTGCGTTGAGTCCCTCTGGGGTTCTCCGGTTTCCTCCCATAGGGGTAAACAACAACAACAAAAAAACCCACAGTGTACCCGCTGTTGCCCAAACATCTCAATGTTGCAACATTATCTGCATAATGATCAATTGGGATTTACACACAGCAGCAAAAATCGCCCCGACTAAAACTAAAAAAATATATATTTTTAATTTTACCAAGTAAGGTCCACTGAGCTATGTAGCTCTTAAATTTTTATTTAAAGCTTTCGTGACCGCAGTAATTCATATTCTTAGTTTTTTCGGTGAAGTCACGTTGAAGGGAAACAACAAAATAATAAAATATATATAAAACAATACAAAAATTCTCACGACGTTTCGACCATAACTCAAACGGTCATCTTCAGGTGTGTTGGTTTGTATAAATTTATTTGTAAACGGCGCATTTATTTATTTATAAAAACGTTAGCGCCACGCGCAACGATTTGGCAGTTTATTTAGGACTAGTCCATCTATATTCTGAAAAGAAAAACTAAGAATATGAATTACTGCAGTCACGAAAGCTTTAAATCAAAATTTAATCGCCTCCACGGGGAGGGTTTTCACATAACTTTAAGATCCTTCAACAAACTCCGGGATAAGAAAGCTCAGCTGATCGAGTCTCTCACCTTCCTGAAGAGATGCCGCGACTCTAGGGTAATACCAATCGCATTTACACTGACCTCTGCTGCTGTAACTTCTTCTAATGCGAAACGAATTCTTTTCAAAACTAGCTTAGCTCTTTTCTCAGAAAAAATCAGACTTATACGCACCGAACTAGATCAGTTAGACAAGACACTCTACAAATCACACTTATCATTGACGGCAACAATGTCCACATCGGATTAGGAACATGTAGACAATATGACTGCCTCTTCAGCTGCTACTATGTCGACCAAATGTAAGGAAAACCTGATTTCCAAATTTAACCTCCTCTTCAACAAAAGACCGGACCCACACACCAAAAAGTTAGACGTTAACAAAGTCGTAATTAATTGCAGTAACAGTTCTATTTCCGATGGTCTGAAATCCGTTTTAGCTAAAGGTCTAAACTTTGCAGTCACACCTAAACACATACCAGTTAATGATATAATTGCCCAAGTAGACGTTGCTCTCAGGGGCCTGGGTCACATCCCTGCAGACGTAGCAAGATCTGAAATCGCTGCAACCCTCAAAAACGCTAAGATGCCAGCTAGCAACCTCAGCAAAGATGAGCGTTTTGAATTATATAAATTAAAAAAGAGGAATGATATTGTAGTCCTCTCAGCTGACAAAGGCAATGCTACTGTCATCATGGATAAAATAGAATACAACAACAAAATTAAAGAATTACTCGACGATGGTAGTTATACAAAAATAAAAAGAGATCCCACCAACAGCCTCGTCATACAAACCAACAAAATAATTCCTGATTCAACCGCATTAATTGATCAATCTAAACAGTTTTCGTTGAAACCTTCTGCTGCCAGGCCACCAAGATTATACGGCTTACCAAAAATACATAAAATAGATACACCCCTTCGTCCCATAGTCTCTACTATCGGCTCCCCCACCTACAAACTAGCTCGTTTTTTGTCTGAAATCCCGCGTCCTTTCACTGGAAAGACCACCTCTGCGGTACAAAATTCTACTCACCTGGTATCGACAATCAAGGGTATTTCCCTGTCCCCAGACGACCTGCTTGTCAGTTTTGATGTAGTTTCCTTATTCACCAAGGTTCCTGTACCTGACACCATTGCAATCATTGAAGACTTGGTTCATCGAGGACTAAACACTGAGGTACATCCCCCGGGTGAGACACTGTTTAACCAATACATACTTCACTTGGAATGGAACTTTCTACAAACAAACTGAGGGCACCCCAATGGGCTCCCCCCTTTCTCCAGTTATAGCTAACATTTTCATGGAGAAATTTGAGACTGACGCCATCCAGACTGCCACTCTGCGCCCAACCTTATGGAAGAGGTACGTGGATGACACTTTTGTCATCTGGCCACATGGCCGGCCTGCTCTAGACCAATTCTTCGACCACATCAATTCCATACACCCAGCCATCAGATTTACCATGGAAGTCGAAATAGATGGCAAGATACCTTTTTTGGATGTCCTAATTAAAAAGAGACCTGATGGTTCAATGAGCCACTCTGTCTACAGGAAAGCTACCCATACGAATGCTTATCTGAAACCGGATTCCCACCACCATCCATCACAGAAGAATTCTCTCATCAAGACTATGTATCATAGAGCCCAATGCATATCCGACCAGGAACACATAAGCAGTGAACTCAAGCACGTACACCAAGCTCTTAGGGCTAATGGTTACTCCGACTATACAATCCGCAAAGCTATCACTCAAACCATGAAGAAGAACCCTCTTGAGGAGCCTTTCAAAACCATCACTTTACCCTACATTGCGGGGATCACAAAAAAGATCTCCAAAATCTTGAATAAACACAATATTCAGGTCCGTTTCAACACATTACATAAAATCCGTGATCTGGTTCCGTCTGTAAAAGATGTGATTCCGGACATACAATACCCTGGTGTCTACAAACTAAGTTGCCTCTGTGGTAGTAGTTACATTGGAGAAACCAAACGCCATGTCTCGGACCGCATTCGTGAACACAAAGCAGACCTTAAACACGGTAGGACCAACACCTCGGCCGTGGCAGATCATTGTTCTAATTCAGTAGGCTCACATGCCATTGACTTTTCCAAGACAGAGGTTCTTTGTAAGCCATCTGGCTTCCATGAGAGATTCGTTCATGAGGCTATCCACATATACAAGCACAGAGACAATTTCAACCGAGAAGATGGATTCTATCTTAGCAATCATTGGAAAGATTTGATAAACCATTTCAGGTCTTAATTGATTGTTCACGCTTACAGTGGCTTTCAGACAGCATATATTATAAAAAATTTCGTCTCCCCCCTCCTCTTTTCAGAATATAGATGGACTAGTCCTAAATAAACTGCCAAATCGTTGCGCGTGGCGCTAACGTTTTTATAAATAAATAAATGCGCCGTTTAAAAATACATTTATGCAAACCAACACACCTGAAGATGACCGTTTGAGTTATGGTCGAAACGTCGTGAGAATTTTTTATTGTTTTATATATTTTATTATTTTGTTGTTTCCCTTCAACGTGACTTTACCGAAAAAACTAAGCATATGTAGCTCTTTTTCAGAATCGACCTGGCCACAATTGACAGCTCAACGAAGTGGCTCATCATCGTGTGGAAATGTATAGCAGCCAAATACTCTAAACGCGTGATGTTGATTCCAAATATGGAGCGAAAAACCAGAGGTTCCGGAGAAAAATCCACGCAACCACGGGGAGAGAGACACGCAAACTCCAAATATACAGCAGGCGTCAGGGTCAGAATCGAACCCACGGCCTCCTGTAGACCAGGCGAGGGAGTTAACATCTCACCACCGTGGCGCCAGAAGACTTGGCAAGACCCTCCTGGAAAGTAAGTCCTGAGACTCAGTGAGGCTTTTTTCAGAGCTAAACAAAACAATAAGAATCACCACATTCATTGATTTACACACCTATTCACTCGTGAATGTTATTCATTTCGTGTTTCACTCACTTACCCTTTTATTATCTCACTCATTGATGTAACGAATGCATTGTTCCTTCATTCACTAACTCATTCATTCATTCACTAATCACTATGTTACTGGTTCATTCACTGAATTACACATTCACTCACGCATTAACCCCCCTAATTAAATAATTGATTATACTCATTCACTACCTCACTCATTCATTCAGTCACTCGGTATTCAATCATTATTCCACCAATAAACAAATTGATTCAACGATTCAACCACTCGCTCACTCACTCAATCATTCACTCACACACTATACCACTGATTGATTCACTAACTCATTTACTCACTCATTCACTCGTGTACTTACGTACTGATTCCTCCCACTCATTAACTAATTGATGAATTGACTAATTTACTCACCCATTAATTCACTTATTGATTCACCAATTGATTACCCGCTCATGAACAAATGTGTTCACTTACTCATTCACCCACTCAATCACTCATTCGCTCATGTACTCATCATTGATTCACCTACTCACCCATTGACATCCCCCCCCCACTAACTAATCGACTCGTTAATCCATTCACTCGCTCACTCATTCACACATAGCCCACCCAATCCGACCACGCGGGGTCGCGTGGGACAAAATTGACAGTGGCTGCTGAGTGGGGAGCGAAGCTACCAACGCGCGGGGCTTTCCCACACTCACACACAGAGCCACGCGCACACTCCCAACATCCACCACCACCCTCCATCGCCCGCTTCTTCGAAAACCACTTCCCGTCATTGCCTTGCCTTCTTCCCTCAATGAGACAATAACAACAGAGGAGAGAGGAGGAGGAGGAGGGGGAGTGACGAATGCCACCTTATAAATTTAGCGTCAGAACCCATCTCTAGCGGATTCACAACTCCTGAGTTCAGAGTACACACGCACACACACTTGTGTAGGATGAGTACATGAGTGCGTGTCTGTGTCTATCTTTCTGTGCGTGTGTACCGGCTTTTTTTGCACCCCCCCCCCCCAGCAGTCTCTAAAGGCTACGGGTTTGTTGTTGTTGTTCGAGCTTAGATTTTGTGTTCAAGCAATGGGTGTATAATTAGTGAGTGTAATCAATATCGCTTATATCATACGTGATCACGCACCTTTTGGATTTAAGCGGCACTTGCGTCGGCTTGAAGTTTCAGGACAACAGCTGATTTTCACGCCAATATAAGGTACGGTCCTGCGCTTTGCTACGCCACGCACACAACTCATATCAGTATATATATCGTGCAGCCCTGTACTTTGCCGCACACACATACACTATTAATATAGATTACAAGGTACAGTCCTCCATTGTGCTGCACACACAGCTCATATACACACACACGTTACAGTCCTACACTTTGCTGCACGTACACACACACACAAATAGGGCTACTGGAATAGCTCTCACATGTTTTGACTTGACCGATATGTTTGTTGGTGTTCTATACGGTAGCGATCCGTTTAAGACACCCCCTTGCCTCCCGAGTTGTTGACTGAACTGAACCCCCCCCCCTCCCCTACTGAGTTACAAATGGGCCCATATTAGCCTCCCGCTGATGCTCGGCAGGTGATTGAATGCTGAGAGCAACGACTGCACGTGTACCAGAGAGAGAGAGAGAGACGGAGAACTCTGCATGCAGACATGAGCTACCCGTCGGAGGCCGTAGGACTGCGAGAAGGGCTGGGTGCAGATGCAGCACTTGTCGTAATTTTGTTTTAAATATTACAACTATTACATAGAAAAACATAGGGGGGGAACATAGACATGGAGTAGGGAGAGAGGGGGTAGAGAGAGAGAGGGAAGGGGTAGGAAGAGCAGAGCGTGACATCTATCGTGAAATCTTTCATTTAAAAAGGGGTTTACATAAAGCAAAGCATTAAAAAAAACCCGAAATGATGAACGAAGCAAAGTGCCGACTACACCGAGCATCTTCTTGTTTCCTCTGATCGTAAAAAGAGAGAGAGAGATGAGTGGTCAAAGCGTTTCGTAACTGAGATTGGTGGTGAGACGCGTCCGCACGCGATGCTGGCTTCACGAGGGTGCATCGCATTTTCCCTGTAGAGTTGTTTGAAAACTTAACGATGGGGATTCAATGACATTAGTAGACGCGAATTTGTATACCCGCATTAGTTAGCTTCGTTTTGTTTGTATGTTCATGAACAGATGTGTTTGTTTAAAGAGACACGTTCATTTCAACCGTTTGAATCACACCTGATAAAATGCGATTTATTTCAGTCCATCCGCCTATTAGCCTCCCAGACTTGCGCTGGCTGACCAACAACAGCATTTTGCATGAACACAAAAACAAAACAAAATACTCTGAGCTGGTTTCGTTTTTTCTGGGTCTCATCAGCAGAACCCATCAACCTTTAAAGACGTATATATCTGTTTCAAGAAGTTATTTAACTGCAATGAATACCGTTATAAAAATGCTACCTTGCGGCAAGTAATGAGGCCTCGTTTAACCTTTGTGTAAACTGCATCACTAGCCATAACAGTTTTAAATATGATTTTTCTAACTGGCTGTAGGACGTGGTGCTGGCCACACACCCCCACCCATCGTGTCCCCGTGGCGGCCTTCACAGGTGCTGCTACTCGCTAACAGCAGTCTGTCACAGACTATACGGGGGGGGGGGGGGGAGATCTTTGTGTTTGTGTTAGCGTCACAACCTGACATAGCACGCGGTGACGGGTGGAGTTTGCAGAAAAGGTCATTAAAGTAATTAAAATAAATGACATTTTATTCCACCCAAGCAGCGACAGCGTGGTTAGCGCGGTGGTTAGCGCGGTGAACCCAGGCGGGCGAACGTAGGCACAGGGATTTGTTTGAAGCTGGAAAAATCCGATGAGCCACGAAGCTCTTTTCACGCTGGGGTTGGCAATGGTGTTACAACCGTCGAAGGAGGTGACACAGGTGGATAAATGATATAGGTAAATTACGTAGGTAGATACATTACGGAGATAAATTACGTAGGTAGATACATTACGGAGATAAATTACATCGGTAGATACATTACGAAGGTAGATAGATGACAGGGGTAGATTGCACAGGGAGATACATGACATAGGTAGTATGTTCATTAACCATTATCACTGGTGAGTGATAACATAACCGGTCCTGCGCTTTACCCCCCACCATCGTGGTGAAGTATGGTCAATGAACCCCCTATCACCAAGACGGCATGGGTAGAGCTGTATCCAGCAGTTGTTCATTTCTTATTATCATCAGTAAATATCTAATTATGTTAAGCTATACTGTATTCATATTATTAACAGTAATTATTGAGCCAATCACCAACATTTCTACATATGCAACTTAGAAAGTGGTGTATGATTATGGCATCCTTACAGATCCCCCCCCCCTCTAATTCTGCTATTAATTGATCAAGCCGGCCTTATTCGTGGTATATCACTAGTATACAGATCGCCGCATGTTTCCGTTGGCAGAAATATTGAGAGAGAGAAATGAAATGTCCTTGTCCAGACCAGAACATGTGGCAGCAAGCTCACGTTGAAGTGATGCACTTTAAGTTGTATTGATTATTTTAAGCTATACCGCAAGGAAAAAATAAAATGGTAAAAAATACCCACAACGAATCTTGTGGGATCCCACGGAAATGTGAAATTCAACCACGCTTAATAACACCAATTAATGAATTATTTCGGCTGTTGTATTACACAATGTACAGGGCGGTCCAGATGTCTTGCGACCCCCTAATTAATTGAGCTCGAAAATATTTGTCCACTTTGTATATTTATTCATAATTTTAAACGAAACCTTATTTTTTAAAATAAAAATTACGTTTTAGAGAACTAAATGGGGGGGGGGTCACAAGACATCTGGACCACCCAGTAAAATTCTGTCCTATGCCTAACAAGATAGTCATGCCTAGAGATGATTTGTATACTGTTTAAATTATTTGTTTACGATTCTTATACTTGTGGGTGTTTTGTTATTGTTTCTTCTTGTAACGTTCTGACCCGCCCCGACTGAACATCGGATTCTTCCACTATAAATACTGATTCTGATTATATATAATTTTCCTGCGGGGGGAAAAAAAACCCATCGATAATTATAATAACGATTCCCTTTATTTGCAAAAGCCCCACAATAGTCTCAAGAGACCCTGCTCACGAGCGTCCTGCATTGAGATATTTGGCCCATTAAATAATCTTCGTGACTCTTGGAAAAACAGCACAAAGGCACGCGGAGATAAAAACTCCAAACTCCACTCAAATGGATTCAATAATCCCATTCGCTGCACTGACCACAGTGACCATCAGTCTGGCCAGCTCGCGGTCTAGCGGGTATTTGGGAGTTTTAAAATCTCCGTGATCCATCAACCTTTCAACGTGCTGGGTTTACAGGAGTGTGCCAAAATACTGTGTAATCGTTCATTTATTCTACGACGATTCAAATAGTTGCGGACAATTTTTTGTTCTTTCCCCAAAAGCGATGAAAAAGTCTGCGCGCCGCGCGGGAAACCTCACCAGCAAAAAGTGTCGGGTCACAGAGGTGTGCATGTCAACAACGGCAGGCGCGGTCGTTGTTGCTGTTGTTAATGCGATCGTGTTTTAGTCGTGACGAATTTGTCAGACGTGATACTTGAGCAATGACACCGTCACACGAACATCAGAAAAAAAAGGGCAGTGTCGGCGATGCCCTGTTAATCACAGAATCACTGGCGCAAGAGCACATCCATCGCTCGTTTGTTTGCTGCGAGCACGTGCTAAGCAGGCGAGCGGCGTACTCTACTTAAACATCATTCTACCGAGGCATTTGGCGGGTCGATTGCACATTTTCTACCCGGGGTGGTCGTCGATCGTGATTAACCCTTCGGTGGGGGGTATATTCACCCCCACCGCCCCCCTATTAAGCAGGCGATGCAAAGCAAAAAAAAACCACGTGTCCTTGGGAGTTTAGAACACGGGAAGCTGGGGAAGGTGGTGGGTGCTGGCGAAGAGGGGGAGGGGAAAGGAGATTTGGGGTGGATCGAGGGCCTGATTATTAGCGGCGCATTTATTATTCTATTTTATGTCGTTTTTCCCTGGAAACTAAAAATAAAAGTACAAAGGCTCCCTTGGATTTAAATAAAAATAATCATGTTGTGCAGGGACAAAGATCGCTATCTCCCAAGGAAAGAAGGACGCGGACCCCATTGTCTCGGCGTGAGTACTCAGAACGCTTTTCCCGGCCATGCTGAAACGTTTCTCGAACATCACACGAGATGCAAAACACGCATTGCACTCACGAGGCACCCCCACCCCACACCACCACCCACCCCACCACCACCACCACCACCCACCCCACACCACCACCACCCACCCCACACCACCACCACCCACCCCACACCACCACCACCCACCCCACACCACCACCACCCACCCCACACCACCACCACCCCACCCCACCACCACCCCACCCTAGCTCGCTACAAAGCGGCTTCATAGCCACGGCGTCAGCATCACCGCCACCACGACCCCCAGTTTCCATTCTCCTCCTCCTCCCCATCCTCTCCTCCCCTCTTCCAACAAAAAAAAATCCCCTCGACACCCGCCCCCCACCCCGAATCACCCAGTCACCGGCTCCCAACCTCTTTCCCGTCCCATTCCTTCCCGCAGCTGTCAGCTGTTGCATTAATAACGCGACAGAACGCGCGCGGGGAGATAAATAATAACAGCAGCAGCCGAGGGGGGCCGGAGGGGGAAGGGGGCCAGTTCGGGAGCTCGTAACTCATCGCGGTGGAGGAAATTCACCCAAGTCGCTGGCTTCCTACGGGCCTAAAAACTTTCGTGACTGCAGGAATTCATATTCTTTGGTTCTTTCGGTAAAGTCACGTAGATAGAGGAATAATAATAAAAAAAACCAAAGTGAATAAAAATGTAAAATATTCATTTTTTATTATTATTTAAATTTTATTAAAATAAAGTGAATAAAACAATTGTATTTTTTTCACATTATTATGATTCTATCTACGTGACTTTACCGAAAGAACCAAGGAATATGAATTCCTAGGGGCCCTTGATAACCCTCGACCCTCGGGGAGCCACCTCGCTCCGAGTCGCAGCGACCATCGGGTCAACTTGTTTGCAACTCGCGGTGCGCGGCGGCTGATCACCGGCACTCCGTGCGTGCTGTCGCGCCCCGCCTAGGTGCACTCACTCGCGCGGTGTCTTCGTCGCGTTTTGCGCGGCGGGTTTAGGTGCACGCGCCCGTGGTATAGGAGGCGAATTGGGTGGGCGTCGTATTTTGCTTGGCGAATAAACACACACACAAAAAAAAACAAATTAAAAGTCAGAAAGAGGGGGTTCCTTGCACTGGTGCTCACCTCCCTGAGTTCGTGCTGGAAATTCCACATTGTTATGCCAGGGATATTTTGCAAAGGACAACCAGTGTGGAATTCCACACCAAGTTGGGACTAATTTTATTGACCCCCCCCCCAGAGGACTATAATAATAATTATCAAAGTTATTTAAGGAGAAAAATCTCACCAAGTCTCAACTCAGTTACCATCATCACCACCACCAACAACCACGGCCAATCCATTGTTGATTAAAGGCGTCCCGAAGCCGCCACCATCTCTCATGATCCTGCGATCTAATTCTCTCTCTCCCTTTCAGATTCCTAGCCCCTTCCAAAACATCGTCATGATTCACACTCTTCGTACACCGTCTATATTCCGTGTAATCGGACTTGTTTATGTCTACAACCGTTACAATTCGAGCGAGGCTCATTGTGCGGCAATGTCGCTCCTGCGTTGGCAGCTGTGCGGAAGCGAAATCAACGACAACACTCACATTCGACAACACTCACATTCGTCAATTTTTTTTAAAAGTGTGCTATTGGAAATGCCCATGACACGGAATAAGGCGCGCTGTAACTCTATACAAGATAAGATAACGTTGATATTATTTCCATACTGCGGTACCAACAGTGCACACGTGGCCATGCTCGGGTGTGGTGCACGTGTAAATAAGATACACACGCGACGCTATTTAAGGAAGTGCGTTCCCGCGCTGTGTTGAAATGCGTCCGCCCCGCCGATACAGAATTAACCGTGGAGAATTTAAAAAAAAAAACCGCCCAAAAATACCGCAAATGCAGAACTAGCTCCTGATGGAGAGACGAATAATCATGGGATGGCACGGTGGCACAGCCATGAGACTTGAGCTTGAGAGACAAGAAGGGGCCTGGGTCGATTTCCAAATTTTTCCGTGTCGAGTTTTCCGTTCTCTCCCCCCTGTTCTGCGTGGGTTTCCTCCGGGTTCTTCCCATAGCTAAAAAACAATGTAAACTGGCGTTGGCCAAACCTCCCAATGCCGAAAGATTTACCTGCACATTGTTTGATTGAGATGACGCACAGCAACAGTGCGAGCTTGGCAGGACCCTCCTGAAAAAAGTCTTGAGACTCAGCGAGGCTTTCCAAGGTAAAAAAGCGCAATAATAAATCATATTTCATGGATGGGCTTCATCTTTGCTTCACTCTTGGAGGCTCAGGCACTACGATCAGCAGACTCCCATCATTGGTGAGACACCATCTCCTGGTGTTCCACCAACCCTTGTAGCTGACGATGGCGGTAGAGCTCGTGTTAAACTAACCCAACGATCACGAAACTTCCATCGCAGCTTCGGTCGTGTCCTTAGTTGCCCGGTTTGAGTCTGGTTTCAAATCGAGGTTGTATTTTAGGTAGATTTTTTTTTATTCTTTCAAAACGAGAATGGCTTATGAAAAAGGGGATGCGTATGATAGGGATTAATTCCGTACGATTCCTTTTTTGAGTTTGGTACGATGACGTATGATGTATGGGCTCAGTGCGAGGCTTACTAGAAGGGCATGCGTGGTAGCTTTCTCAATCCCGCACACGATGCATGTCCGGAGGGTGCCTTTGAGCGGCTCTGCAACAAAAGTTGTGATGTAAACGTGGTTAATTTACCGTTGTTGTTTTTTCGTAACATTTCAGGTTGAAGGCTCAACACTCAAGGCGACACACAGGACTAACCGCGTGGGTCGAGCAAGGGCGTGCAGCGATGGACGACAAGTGAGTGCGCGTCTCCGTACCCGGCTCCTTTCGGTAGCCAGGTGACCACTTGGCAAAAAACCGCAGGCAATGACGGACGTTTTTTTCCTCTCTCCAGCATTGCTTGTTGTGAAACGTTTAACGTGAGCGGCCTTTAGATTCAACGGCGCACAGAGAGGAGGGCAGCATCTGCGAGTGCAAAAAATCTCCATGGCCTTGTCCAGAACACCACCTCAAAAGAACTGAACGTGTGGCCGTTTTTATTTTTTGTTTGCCGATGAGAACCGCCGTCTCAAAGAGAGTTGAGAATTCGTGGCCGTCCAGCAATACGGGCCACAGCCGACGGAGCGGTTTCCTCCTCATTAGCGCTCATCAGTCCAGTATGGTCATAATGTTCACTGCTGCTCCATGCCTCTGGGAGCCCCATACGGTCCAGTATATCAGATTACCACCTAGTTGGCTTTCGCGACCAATATTATCCATTATAACCTTTTTTTGTGGGGTTAGATCGCGTAAATATGAATGTGGTGTCGTTAACCCACCACCACCCGACACAGCCAATTAGTAAGGTTTGTCACGTAAATAAAAACGTGCCAATTTGTTACTACTTCAGCACACCAGTGAGTTGGAGAGTAAACCCACAATGTTTTATTTACGTGACAAACCTTACTAATTGGCTGTGTCGGGTGGTGGTGGGTTAACGACACATAGTTACGTGTTCTAACTCAAAAAACCTTGGTTATTAGTGTACAGTATATGGAGAGGATCTGCATGTGTGTATGCATGTTGAACTTATTTTGCACCGTACGTAGCCAACCGTGCTAACCATAGGTGCAGGGGGAGGGGGGGGGACAGCCTTGACACCAACGCGGAGTCCGTGAGCACTTGCCTAACCGATTACGAGCAAGCGGCATTTTTGCGTAAAGGTTAGCAGAGGAGAGATTTGTGAATGATGCGTTTAAACTACCGCATCAACAAATGTTGCTGTTTTCAAACTGCTAAATTTCGTGAGATTAGATATACATGCGTTGATGTTATTATCCGTTTCATCACAAATGTGCACGGGGGTATCGGAACTACGAATCTTTTTTGGTCGGTCTTTCGGTTCACGTTCCGTAAAGGGGGGTTTTCCTGGACGCCCAGGCTTCTTCCCGTATGGAAGATGCTCGCTCAAGAATTGGCCCAGCATCCCAAATTCGAGAGTTTCCTGAAAAATTCTTAGGATCAGGGAAGTGAGGCTTTTCTCCATAAAAAATTAAGGAAATGTATATTAATGTAGATCGTCATCATCATCACCACCATCATCAATCATTGTCATCATCACCACCACCATTATCACCATCAGTCATCATCGTAATCATCATCATTATCACTATTATCACCACCAATCATCATGTTATCACCATCAATAATCATCATTGTATTATCACCATCAATCATCATCATGTTATCACCATGAATCGTCATTGTCACCACCACTCAGAAGTCACGTGGTTTGCGAGAGGCTTGAGCTGATTTAGATATATAGATGAGCTCTGCTAGAGGTAATCATCATCGTCGTTCACTCATCGTTTCATTTTACAAATCGCCGTCCATACAGAAATGTACATTATCTGAGCACGTCTGTAGACAAGTTTGAATGCAAGTAAGAACAGGCTTCGTTTGACTCTTTCGGGTAATAATACAGGGGTTAAGATGTTCAAACACCAAATAGACACCTTTTTGCAAGCTTGAATGCAACCGTTAGGCATTTAAATCTCGCGCGTGATTTGACATTTGACGCTGGTAAACAAAACATGCCGTCACACGAAGGGTGGCGCTGGAAATGAAAGTTAAGTTGGGGTTGTATTGCCTAGGTTAACAGACGCCTTTAAGTAAAAAAAATTGCATTTCGCAACGGCAGCCGCTGTCAAAAAAAAACCGCCCTCGGTGGAGAAAGTTTTTTGCGGGGGCAACTTGTCTTGAAACGAAGCGCCCAAGTTCAGTAGTTCCTTCAGAGGTCTTGTCAACCATCAGCGGTTTTTCCGAGAACAATACATGAATAAATAAATGTCGCGAAAGAGCACTTCACACCCTTACGCAAATTCGATGTGGGTTTTCGACCCTGCTCAGCAGCCGAGATCAGGATGACATCGGTGGCATTCTGGGTGATGTGGTCACGGACCAACTCGGGATTGTCAACAGGATGTGAACACAACCGTCAAGCTTAGTGGAACAGGATACGGTCTTGCCTTTTTAATTCCAAAGTACGCTATTTATAATGTACTTTCTTTTAAATCAATAACTTGCCGCATGCAGATACACACAGGAAAGAGCGAGAGAGTGTAAATGCGCGAGCCCACTTTTTACGACTATTTCTGTAACCAAACGATGGCGTTTTTAGGAATTGAAAAGTCAAACGGTAAAGGCGATGCCCTGCAAGTGCCCACTTACGCCGCTGCTGGCAGAAGGGTTCCCAGTAAAGGGAGCTTTAGAGATAATATATTTTGGACTAGCATCCCACATCGGTAAGATATCTAGGAAGAAGTGTAAATACCCCCCCCCCCCTCCAACATTACCCCATCACATGCTATCAGAAGATCTGATTAATCGCATCCGTGGCCCAACACTGATGAATTGTTAGGGATAAATCAAGAGGGGACTTCTTAAAAGTTCCCCGAAGAAAAGTGGAAGTATCCGACTGTCATTAAATGAGCCTCGAAGCATCATGGTTGGTGACCTCATGGCGTGTGCCGTCAGTTTCACTCCAGCGCTTCCCCCTTTTACACGATCGGGATCAACTCCGTGGCTGAGGGATGCGTCGATTCCCGTCTCGCCGTGCCAAGTGGCTGCTTCGTTTGTACCCCTGAAATCGATGACCATCGCCGGTGGAAATCGGCGATGGTCGCATCACGAACTGCCCGCGGCGGGTGGGAATGGAAATTTTCCGGAATTGCTTTGCTCGCTGCTTCGGTAGAGCGCTGCATAAATAATCTGATCGCTTACGAGCAAACCGCCCCCCTCCCGTGCCCACGCTTTTTTTCAAGAGACTCGTAAAACGAGGAAGGGGCTTTCCCTTCGCTCATCGTGGCCAAGTGTGACCTCGCATCTTGCAAATCCCACCCAAAAAAATATTCGCGTGTAAATTCCATTCGGATAGAGGCAAAAGGCAGGCCGTGCATTTCGTTGTTGTTGAATGACCAAATTCCCCAAAACGCCAAGCGGCTAGCAACAACCGGCAATACATGTAGAGTTAATGTATTTTTTATTGAGTTAGGGTTATTGGTAAGAACTAAGGGGGGGGGGGGGGAGATACGGCGAATGGAGGGAAATCCAACGTCGAACACGTGCCAGGAAAGAAGCAGACGCGTTGAACAAAAACAAAAATAAACTATTAAAACTACTTTTATTTGACCAGGCAAAGGGCCCACTGATCTATAGAGCTCTTATTCAGAAGCGACCTGGCTATCACAAATTATAGCTCAACGAAGCGGCCTATCATCACGTGAACATTTTTTTAGCAGCCAAATACTCTATACGCGTGATGTTGATTCTAAATGTGGAAGGGAAAAACCGGAGGATCCGTAGAAATTTTTACGTGACCACGGGGAGAGACACAGCAAACTCCAAACATACATCAGACGTCAGGGTCGGGATCGAACCCATGACCTCCTGCATACCAGGCGAGACGAAGTAGTTAACATCTCGCCACGAGAGGCAGAGGATTGGGACTGATGTGCAACCTGTCTTTGTGCTTAAGCTGCAAGCGAGCACCTAAACGTGTACCTAACCTGGCACAAACACCGCGGCGATGTCACCGCCACTGAGTGGCATATGGTGGCCGCTGTGTTGCTTGTTCCGTGTTCGCGTCGGCAGATCCGGCATGCTGGGTTAGCGGATTCAAGTCCCGTGGCAGTTTGGCTTCTGAAATTGGCTTTTAGTCGCTCCTAGGTCGTTTCTGGAGAAAATCTGTGGACATTGGCACTGGGGAGACCAAAGTGGCCGAGCAGCATGGTGCTGGCCAGTGGCCTTTTCACTCTGGCAATTAAATACTCGCTAATCTGCACTCGCCCATTGCGGATTACGAGACTAAAATGTGGATCTCTGTGTGTGTGTGTGTTGGTGCCAGGGTTTCGTAATGACCGCTGCTGGATACTTCTTCATAACGTTCTGAAATACACGTTCTCAAGCAAACAAAAAAAAGCCACAAATCAGAAATAAAACTGAAGAGCGCATGCGGTGACGTGTTGTGGTGGAGCGGTGGTCACACTGGGCTCCTCACGGCACTCCCCGCCCACCCTTCACCCCCCACCCCACCCATTCTCAACCCTGGCCCTATCCCTCGCAAATGCACTGGCAACAATATCATACGGTCATCATCATATTCTAAATTCGAGGGGAACAAAACAAAAAAACAAATGTGGCTGGCTGTGAGGAGGGACGGACGAGCGGTCACGTCCAAAAGGTGACTCAATATTAGCCACACTTCGAGAATGACGTACTGTCGCGGAACATGTGATACATGTTGCATCATGACTCTGTTGTCACACCAAACACTCTGCGCGCGCCGAACGGCATAGGCAGGCAGCACGCCTAGCGCAGACGTTCCTCGAGCGGCGCTGGAGTCGGTGATCAACTCCTCTCCAACCGTGACCAAAATCATCCGGAAATGTGCCCACTGCCGTCGGAGCTGGCAGGCCGAGCGGAGTCGAGTCCGGGCTAGCGTTTGGATGGCGGCGGGGGCACTTGGGGCTGGCTAGGTGTTGCAGGGAGTTGTTTGGTAGGAGGGGGGGGGCGAGGTGGCCAGGAGGTGGAATCGACCCAGCGATCTCTGGGTTGTAAGTGCGGGTGCGCCGCTGACCGTCACACCGGGGCGCCGTGACCTCACACGGGACTCATCGCCCGTGGTAGAGTTTTATTTTCTCGGTGGTAAGAGGCCGGCCCCCCACCCCCCCCCCCCGAATGGCCATGACGTGGCCAGTCACGCACATTGCCAGCTGCTGGGCACCGCCAAAACGATCGCTTTCACAACGAGATCAGCAGGCAATATATGCCACCTTCTTCGATAGAAATAACCTGTCCCTTCGCGTAAAAGATACACAAGTATTGATTTGACGCTTTCGTGACTGCAGGAATCCACACTCTTTGGTTCTTTCGGTGAAGTGACGTGGGTAGAAAAATAACATAAAAATAATATATCACCATTATTTTCTATTTTATTTTATTTTTTTCTACCCACGTGACTTTACCTAAAGAACCAAAGAGTAATGCTCAAATTTTGATTTAAAGCTTTCGTGACTGCAGTAATTCATATTCTTAGTTTTTTCGGTAAAGTCACGTTGAAGAGAAACAACAAAATAATAAAATATATAATAAAAATATAATATATTATATATAATAGTAATGCACAAGTTTGTTTTTTGATACCGTCACTTGCCGTCAACCGCAAAGGCCTTCCCCCAGTGCGTTACTTCGGCGGCAGTCGGTTCAAATGCAGACGTCTCCTTCGCCACGCGAACTCCTTAGCGTTCCCGACGGACAGGGAGGGGCATCCACGAGCCAAGGGGAGTGGGAGGGGGGCAAGCAGCAAGGGAGGCGCCAGGGAGATGGGGATGAGGGCAGGAGACGTTTCGTAGGGCGCGCGCGGGCCGCTCATTGGCCGGACAAACTCTGCAGGAAACTCCCGGGGTTGGGCGGAAAGGGATTTATCCTCAGGTGACCCTCGGTACCGAGGTGTCAGAGCTTGGGAAGGGGAAGAACAAGAGGCGGAAGGCGATCGGCGGCGGCACCTCGCGGCGACCTCGGATCGGTCCCGCGGGGCCGTTGAGACAACAGCGAATGACCCTGGGGTGCGACGCGTTGGGGGAAGGTTTAAAGCGACGATGCGGACGTTAGAGAATACACCGCGCGGGGAACTTCGGTACCGATTTGCCAACCGATTAAACTCAAGGGAGGATGTGCGCCGAGCCGTGTGTGTCCCTGTGCTAGCTCGTACACTGCACGTGTGAATATCAATCCGGGCTGTAATCCGATTAGTTAAGTAGTCGATTACTCTTACGATTAGTCGGTTCGATTATCTCGACTCATCGGATAACACGAAAATCGTTGGGGGGCGGGGCGGGGTGGGGGGGGTGAATGTCTCACCGATGTTGACACGCGTGCCGCTGGACTGGAGGTGATGGGCGAGGCCTGGAGGTGTCATCGGCAATGTCAGCCGCGTCACGCCGGGCTTGGCTTGTGGGGGGTTTACCACCTTCGGGATTATTTCGATTATTTTGGCTGCTATATATTTCCACGTGATGAGCCACTTCGTAGAGCTATCATTTGTGGCCAGGTCACTTCTAAAAAAATAAGCTAATAGCTCAATGGGCTATACCTGGTAGGATAAAAATAGTTAGTTTAGATTTTTTTTAAAGTAATTTGTTTACCTCTCCATTACCTTGCAATTCGATCGTGTTTTTCTATTGTTTGTTGTTGCAACGTTCTGACTCGTGGAAAAGAGCTTTACAGCTCATCGGATTCCACCTGTATAAATACTGATTCTGATGGGATGTGGAAAGTGGCGGCCGTTTCTAAATCAGCCCTAGTTGTTGGCCACGAAACAAGCAGCCAATTGTAAATTTTAGTCGATTAATCGACTGATCGTCCCAGCTCTGTAGTATTTCCCTATTAACATCTGGTTTTACCCTTCCAACTCTCCTCTCGGTGGTCACGTGTCCCCGGTTTGCACAGAAGCTCGAGGTGCCAGTCGCATGAAAACGCTCTGCGCGAAGGCTACTTGTCATCGCGTGTTATTATTTTACAGATCAGTTGCCATACCGATGAGTAAACGAAGTCTCTCGTCTCCATTTTATATCCGGCCGCGTGGCGCTGTCGTGTCGGAGCACACGAGTCACAATGAGCGACTTGTGAGTTTAAATCCCCAGTTGGGGAACTGACGCAGCCAATCATCCCTTTTGAGGGCAATTTTAAACGAGCAGCAAATTGTGAGAACCCATCTGCAGGAATATAGATGGGCTGGTCCCCGTAATAGGAATATGGAATGTATACCGCTTGCTGAGGGCCACAAATTAGAATAAGTAATCCCAATTCTCGGTTGAGGGCTTTGATTTAATGTACGTTGGGATGTTTTTTTCCCCCGCTTTGCTATATTTCAATCGCATCACAGCGAGCGGTGCATCATCCTGTATTTTAGAACAGCCCCCGGAAAAAGTTGCCATCACAATTGCTTCTGAACTACTTATGAAAGTAATTTCAGTCGCTCATTTATACTTAGTAGAGACATTTCTTGTATACGTCCTGATAAACTATTAAAAACTAGTATTCATTTTAAGGGCCCACTGAGCTATACGGCTCTTTTTCAGGAGCGACCTGGCCACAAGTGATAGCCCAATGCAGTGGCATATCGTGTGGAAATTAAAAGCAGCCAAATACTCTAAAAGCGTGTTTCTAAACGTGGGAGAACCCGGAGAACAATCCACGCCACCACGGGGAGAGAGGCACGCAAACTCCAAATATACAGCACGCGTCAGAGTCGGAATCGAACCTACGACCTCCTACATGCCAGGCAAGGTAGTTAACATCTCGGCACAGCTAATTTTTTTTTTTAATCCTCAAAGTTGAAATAAGCAAATTTAGTAATCAACCAAACTTAACACTGAGTTCTCTGTGCAGTCAGACCATCAGCTCATGTAGAGCCACCACAGTGAACTAACAGCAACTCCTTATTTCTAGACCATTCGGTTTCTCGAAATTTAACAATATTTACTCAAAAACTGCTTTTGTGGCAAGGGCGAGATTTATCCTGGAGAACAAAAAAAAACTACAACAAGTTTTAATGTCAAGTTATGACATTCAGGCCGGCGGTGGCTCCCATTGTAACAACGCCAGTTGTGTTTGACGGACAAAGCTAAACAAATTTTCTGAAAATGATTATCACGGAATGAATAGGGATGGAGGAGCGGGGGTGGTTAGAATTATGTGCAAGCGCTTTCCCGGTCTGGCCGCATCCGGCGCCGCTCCCATCGTCACCCACCCACCCACCCTCTCCTCCCACTCAAAAACAACAGTTGGGCTTTGTCTAAGAGCACAAGACAGGTATTACTCACCACGAGGCTGGCCACCACAGCCACCCACACGCCCAACGTCTGGCCTCACCCACCTACAAGCCACCCGCTGTGGCCTTGCATTGCATTGCGCTGAGCTCCCCATTAGCAGCAGTGTCAGCAGTATCAGCCACCTGCCGTCAAGGCTCAGAGGGCGAGGCCACGTCAAAGATGCGGCTGAACTTATGAACCGACTCTGTAGGCGGGTGCCGCGGTGGCGAGATGTTAACTCCCTCGCCTGGTAAGCAGGAGATCGTGGGTTTGATCCCGACCCTGACACCTGTTTATTTGGAATTTGCATGTCTCTCCCCGTGGTTACGTGAAATTTCCTCCACATTTAGAATCAACATGCGTTTTTAGAGGAAAGGCCACTTTGTTGAGCCATGATTTGTGATATCCAGTTCGCTTCTAAAAAAAAGAGCTATATAGCTCAGTGGGCCTTGCCTGGAAAAATAAAAAAACAGTAAAAAAAATTCGTTTAGTTTAGTATCTCATTTGAGCACGTGACTGTACATAATACAGAACTTTTATGGAGCTGCATCCCGGAACGCTTGGGCAATGTCAGGCAATGTCAGGCAATGTTTCCTGTCTCACCTCGAGATTCTCCCCCCCCCCTCGTGTTCCCCCCAGGAGCTGGGGTCCGGGCTACGCGAGCGCCCTGCTGCAAGGCCTCGACGCCTTGCGACGCCGCGGGCTCACCACGGACGTCGTGCTGTTGGCGGGGGGCCGCCAGTTCCCCGCGCACCGCGCCGTGCTCGCGTCCTGCAGGCAAGCGCCCCCCCCTCCCAGCTCCCCCCCCCCCACCCCACCAGCCAACCCACCAGCCCCTCCGCGCTCCCACCCCACCAGCCCCTCCACCCCACCAGTCCCCCACCCCACCAGCCCCCAACCCCACCAGTTCCCCCCCACTCCACCAGCCCCACCCACCAGCTCCCCCACCCCACCAACCCCCCACGTCACTTTCCCCCCCACTCCACCAGCCCCTCCACCCCATCAGCCCCCCACCCCACCAGCCCCTCCACCCAATTAACCCTCAACTCCACCAGTTCCCCCCTAATTCCACTAGCCCCCCCACCCTACCTGTTCCCCCACCCCACCAACCTCCCACCCTACCAGCCCCTCCCCACCCCACCCTACCAGCCCCCCCACCATCCCTCAACCCCACACCCCACCAGTACCCCCCCCACTCCACCAGCTCCCCCACCCACCCAAACAACCCCCAACCCCACCAGTTCCCCCCCACCCCACCTGACCCCCCACCTGACCCCCCCCCGCACCAACACGCGTGCTGCTGTATTTATTTCTTGATCTATGTAAAACAAAACGTATGTATTCGACTCAAGGTAAGTGTATCGTAATTCAAAAGACAAGTTTTCTGCACCGCCTCCTGATGCCCAGCACGTAGCCTCGTTACCGTGTTCTCACATCTGAAAGAGGGGCCATCATTGTCTGTCACGCCGCCTATTCTATATGTTTAATTCCTTTTAGTGCACGTGAAAGTTTTTATGCTTGTTACCATAAACCCTGGTCTGAGGGTTGGGTGCTCCATACTGGACATCTATGAAAAAGAGCTTTATAGCTCATCGGATTCCTCCAGGATAAATACATATTCTGATTCTGATACACGGTGATGACGACCTCTGCGTGATCCACCAACTCCATCCACAGTGCCGCAATGAAATCGTGATCGTCAACCGAACTTTATTCTCCCTCCGTGTCTCTCTCCCTCCGTGTCTCTCTCCCTCCGTGTCTCTCTCCCTCCGTGTCTCTCTCCCTCCGTGTCTCCCTCCCTCCGTGTCTCTCTCCCTCCGTGTCTCTCTCCCTCCGTGTCTCTCTCCCTCCGTGTCTCTCTCCCTCCGTGTCTTTCTCCCTCCGTGTCTCTCTCCCTCCGTGTCTCTCTCCCTCCGTGTCTCTCTCCCTCCGTGTCTCTCTCCCTCCGTGTCTCTCTCCCTCCGTGTCTCTCTCCCTCCGTGTCTCTCTCCCTCCGTGTCTCTCTCCCTCCGTGTCTCTCTCCCTCCGTGTCTCTCTCCCTCCGTGTCTCTCTCCCTCCGTGTCTCTCTCCCTCCGTGTCTCTCTCCCTCCGTGTCTCTCTCCCTCCGTGTCTCCCTCCCTCCGTGTCTCTCTCCCTCCGTGTCTCTCTCCTCCACCACCACCACCAACCGGCGTCATTGCTCGCGCAGCGGCTACTTCTACTCGGCGTTCGTGGAGGGCCGCTGCGGGGACCCCCAGCTCGTGTCGCTGCCGGGCGTCACGTGCGACGCGCTCGCCGTGCTGCTCGACTTCATGTACACGGGGGAGCTGCCCCAGCGCGCCGTGGCCACCGCCGCCGTGTCGCGCGACCTCGTGGCGGCCGCCCGCCACCTCCGTGTCCACGGCGTGGCGCAGGCGTGCGCGCGCCTCCTCAAGGAGAGGTACGTGCAAGTGCCGTGGCCTCGCGTTATTGCCCTGCCGAGCTGCCCGATCCCCGAACGCGCGGCGGTGGCGATGACCACGACGACGACGACGACGACGAGCGATTTGTTTTTACTAATCGACGGCGATGACCGACACTACGACTGCGATCACGACCAAGGCAGCGATGATAATTATATCGATGATGACGACGATTGCGACGGTGACGATGAGATCTCCTCTCGTCCGGCAGCTTGTTGGATCCTCCCGACCTGAAGCCCAGCAAAGAGGACCAGGGGGCGAATCTCTACGCGCACCACCTGCAGCAATTCATCTACTCCCTTCACAACACCACCACCTCCTCTTCATCCTCACCCTCATCCTCATCATCATTATCGTCGTCATCGTCATCCTCGCCGTCATCCACTCCGTCCCCCTTCTCCGTCTACTCTCAGCTGGGCAACCCCTGCCAGTTTAACGCCTTCTCGCCGTTCTTCCACCGTGCCGCCGTCGCCGGCTACAAGCTGTCGCCCTTCTGCTACGCGGGGCCTCGGGGTGCCGAGCCGCTGTGGTGGCCCCTGGCGGCCCACGGGGCCTGCTCCCAGCACCCCCAGCAGCAGTGGGATTCGCACGCGGCGGTCAAATCGGAGGGCGCCGACGCCAAAGGCACCCGCTCACCGGCCGGGCCTGTGGGAGAGGCGGAGGAAGGAGACCGCGGTGGGCACGACACGCAGCGCGTCATCGACATGAGCGTGGGTGGGGGGGAGCAGCGGCGCCAGCGGGCGGACACGCCGTCGCCCCGCCGCCAAGCGGACGGGCCCGTCGCCGCCGAAGCCCCGGAGGGCCCGGCCCGCCGGGACGGCGACGGTGGCGCCGCTCGGGAGCCGAGCGATGGGGCCGGCCAAGCGGCCGCCGTGGCCGGGCAGCAGGAACGAGCGCCCTGCAGCTACTGGAAGAAGCACAAGCTGAGGAGCTGCATGGCGCTCATCTCACGCGAAGACCGCGACGGAGGCGAGGACGCCGGCGGTCGAGATGGGGAAGGCCCCTTGGCGGGGAACGGCGGAGTGGCGCGGGGCAGCACGGGGCGGCAGAGGGACGGAGAGGAGGTGGCGGAGGAGGGGGCTGCAGCACCTTCGGGCGGCGCAAACGGGAGCTGCAGCCCCTACCCGTGCCTCCCGCGCCGGGAGGAGTACGTGGCGACGGCGACGGCGACAGCACAGGAGGGGAGATCGTGCGAGGAGATGTCGGAGGCCGGCACGGGCCCCCGCGGTGAGCAGAGGGTGTACCGGTGTGACACGTGCGACGCCGAGTTCCGCCACAAGGGGAACCTGACGAGTCACCGTGCCGTGCACACGGGTACGTGGGGAACCGCCCGGGCCCCCCTGCCCCCTCCCCCTTGCATGGGCAACCGCCTGTAGGGCCGCCACCCTGCGCGGTTGCACTGCCGCAAGCACTCGCTCGATAGCTGGCCCCCCATTCTGGTAGCGGTACGACCCAACGGCAGCGGCACGTTTCCGCGTGTTACGGAGGTTCGTGGTTCGAGCACCCGGGGCCGCACCTGGTTAATACCGCGGGTTTGTTTTGCCCAAGAGACAGACGCCGTCCACTTCGCGGTGGACGTTCGGGATCTCGTGACGTTATTTGAAGAAATAAATTAATGCTGGCCACACGTGCCGCCATGACGTGCCCGAAAATTTGCCGAATTCGAAAAATGGCTCTCGCGGTCATTTCCGCACAAACGCGGCGACGGCCCCGTGCTACGCGAAGAGCGCTGGTGCCAGAGAGGGGCGGAGCCAGGGGGGGTGACAGGGGGGGTGACATTCTGCGTGTGTAAGTGTACGACACTCGGTCCGGCGGACTCCGTGCAACTGCGTTGTCAGAGTGTGTCGCCAACCGATGGCGTCTAGTTCAACAGCCTGACTCTCTAAATCATTCTTGAAATTAAAATTTGTTGAATGTCACCCCGGCCTGAAATCCTGGCTCCGCCCCTGTTGCCAGATATGGTTTCAATGGTTTTAACGGTATTAACGGTTTTAACGGTCTTTACCGTTTTAACTGTTTTTGACAATTTTAAGAACCAAAGAATAATTTTAAATGTCTTTAATGGTTTTGACCGCGTGTATCCTTCCACGCGCGCAGGCGAGAAGCCGTACCCCTGTGACGTGTGCGGCGCTCGATTCAACCGCCCGGCCAACCTCAAGACGCACGCGCGCATCCACTCGGGCGAGAAGCCCTACCGCTGCGACTCATGCGGAGCACGGTTTGTCCAGGTGCATGCCCCACCCTCCACCCCCAAGTGGCTCACCTGTGTGGGTCGTTGTGTTGGTGCAGGTGGCTCACCTGCGTGGTTGTTGTTGTTGTGGTTGTGGTGGTGATGCAGGTGGCTCACCTGCGTGGTTGTTGTGGTTGTGGTGGTGCAGGTGGCTCACCTGCATGGTTGTTGTTGTTGTTGTGGTGGTGCAGGTGGCTCACCTGCGTGGTTGTTGTGGTTGTGGTGGTGCAGGTGGCTCACCTGCGTGGTTGTTGTTGTTGTGGTTGTGGTGGTGCAGGTGGCTTACCTGCGTAGTTGTTGTGGTTGTAGTGGTGCAGCTGGCTCACCTGCGTGGTTGTTGTGGTTGTGGTGGTGCAGGTGGCTCACCTGCGGGCCCACGTGCTGATCCACACGGGGGAGAAGCCGTACCCGTGCGGGACGTGCGGAACGCGCTTCCGCCACCTGCAAACGCTCAAGAGTCACATCCGCATCCACACGGGGGAGAAGCCCTACCACGTGAGTCCCAGAACGCTCACTACCAATCTTACCGCTATGCTCACCCCCACGCTTAGCACACATCCGTATCCACACGGGGGAGAAACCCTAGTACGTGCATCCCAGCACGCTCACTACCACACTCACCATCACAATCCACACTCACCACACACCAGGGAGAAGCCCTCTCCCGCGAGCGCCGGGGGTAGGACGTATACGTTTGTCTCCGTTCCATCACCTTTACGGGCGACTTTTCATGCGACGAGACCACGGCCTATTTGGACAAAGGCGTGGCCTGGAGACTTAACTTGACGAGCTCGGGTTTTCCATCCGGCGCCTCAGCCTGCACCATCGCCAGACTGCACGAGAGGTCATGGCGTAGTGAGTATCCTCACGTACGTTGGCGACGCGATCATCACAACAAGAGACATCTGTGAGGCGCCGTTCGACGGCGCCAGTACACAGGGCAAGGGCGTTTTCCCTGTAAGTGTCCAGACAAACGTCGGGCTGCCCACAAGCGGTGCTGCTGTGGGCACAAAGTGAACGATATACACCCATAGGAATGTACAAACGCGGGTGTATTTAGCCGTGGTCAGACAAGTAACGGAGGCAAATATTTCCCATAAATATGCAACACGTGGCACATGATGGATCGGTGGGTGGGTGTGGGTGTGTCTGAGTGTTGCTTATGTGGGGAGCGGTGTAGTTGGTTGGCGCCCGGCACTACGCACCCAGAGACCCCGAGTTTGATGCTCGTTCATGGCCAATATCCGTGACGAATATCTGAACTGGTTCTGAGCCTCCCCTATGTCGACTCAGCTCCTAAAAATTGGTAGCTGGTGCGGCACGTTAAACATCATTAGCATCGGGGGAGACAAAGGCGGCTGGGCGTGGTGCTGGCCACACAGGGCTATACAGCGGATTTTCTGAGTCTTCATTACGGACTGGAACATGGGTTAGCAAGTAAGAGCTGAGACTGAGAGCTTCCGGAGAGCGTGGGTGGCAAAAGGATGGGTCGCAACATCTCCACTGGGCATAGATAAGCACCGTGACACTCTTAAGTAAAGCGGCAGTGGGGGTGATTAATGAGCCAGTGCTCAACTCACACACTGGGCGGTCAGTCCCCTCCTTGTCTTGTTTTATTTTACATATGTACGTAAGTACGTACATTGCAACTTCCTCTGCACCGTACCTAGCCAACCCGTTGTAGATTGGAGGTGCGGGAGGGACGGACAACAAAACTAAAAGACGAAAGTCCGTTCTAAAGAGGTGAATTTTAACTCGAGATGGAGAAAAAAAAAGTGTCCTTCACCCATGTTGAGGACTCGGCTACCTGATTCATGGTCTCATCTCACCCTGCACACACCGCCAATCACAACACTTTGCTTTCAGCTTCTTCCATCGCCCCCCCCACCACACTGCTCCACTTTGGAATTCCCTCTCCGATCGCCTCTTTGATCCAAGCTCCGAATAATAATAATGATTTAGATGTTGAAGGCGCATTTCATCCGTCGGTCCCAATCAGCCGTAGATATATACACGTACAATGTTGTTTACAGACAAATCAATGCTGCTGCCAGACGCTGGAGGAAACCGGATCACCCCGAGAAAAGCCCATGCGTGCAAGGGTGGCACACAGATTAGACAGATTGAGAATAGTCCGCACTCTGCTGTACCAGTTTCTCCTGGGGAGCCAGGGGTACGGCACCTCCTTGATGCCCACGGGAAGGGAGTCAGTTGCACGGCGTTTGTGCGGTGATCCACCGATCCTCGCTGCTGCCTCCACGGTGCTGGACTCGAGGCAGCCGTGTGCAGCAGCGTAGCCACCACCACCGCCCCGGCCAGCCTGGCACCATCGAGTGAGAAATTAAGGCCCCCCCGCCTCGAAAAATCCGCTCTGCTGGCCAGCAATAATTGTAGTCCTTCTTGCCGTCTTGATGCCTCTTGGCTGCGAATGAATTAATATTATCTTACAATTAAAGGGCGAACTTGAACAAGGCGCTTAACATAATAATATAACGGTGTAGTGCGAGGGATGAGGGGTGTGTAGCGGTTTAGGGAAGGGAAGGGAAGGAGCGGAGGGACGAGGGGAGGGAAGAGTTCGAGAATGGGCAATGGAGAGGCTTTGAGAGGGGAACGGAAGGAAGTTAATGAGGGAGACTGCAAGTTGCAGTGTGGATGTCCCGTTCACCACTGAATCTCGGGACGCCCAAGCGGTTAGCGATAATTTGATCGGGAGAGGCATAGCGCCGTTTTTTTTTAAAGACATTGTACTCACCACAGAGAACTGTAGCGACATGACCACACAATATGATAGATGGCACCAAACTGTACCGGGAGCCTCGGTACATCTTCCGACCTGAAGACCTACAGACGAAGTCGTTTTATTTTAGTACAAGTACGTCATCGGAATGAAATCGCAAGAAAAACCGATGACCTGCTTGTACGTACGTCATCGGAATGGGAAAGGGTTAAAATGAATGTGGGTGAATGGCTGCGTGCGGAGTGAGTGTAACCCGGCTCCTGGCGCCGTGTCTGTCCGTGGTGAGCGCAGTGCGAGACGTGCAACGTGCACTTTCGGCACAAGAGCCAGCTCCGGCTGCACATGCGGCAGAAGCACGGTGCCGTCACCAACACCAAGACGCGCTACGGCCTGCTGCCACCACCGCCGCCGCCGTCCTGCAGCCTGCCTCCCGCATAGGGCAACCGGGCGCACGCGTACACGCCCGTGAGCACGCCAACGACAACAGCGGCAGCAGTTCGCCACGAAGTGGCGGTGATGTCACCAAGGCGCCTGTACCTTCCGAGGCCAAGTGAAGTGTCGAAGGCTCGCTGCTGGCAGGAAGTCATGGGAGAGACCCAGGTGCCATGGGTTGACTGACTTGAGATGACTGGCCAGATGTACCAACTGTGCTCCCCACTGTGTCAACTCGCCGTGTTTTTTTCCGCCCGGCGCTGCGCTTGATGTTGAGGGCTTCGCTCCTCCGCCCTCCGTTCTTGCTGGAGGGCGACTGCCTCCAGCTGCCCAGCGGCATCCTTCACGAATCTCCTCCGCAGAGGCCGATCTTGACACCGCTGGTACCAGTCATCGGCAAGTCCAATCAGCTTCACACATCCTGCTGTACCGCATCAGTCCATCTCTTCGCCAGCACACACACACACACGCCCTGGCATGCAAACATGCGTAATACTACTACGGCGACAGCAACAACCGGCGCCCACCACCGAGTGGCGGTGGCAGTCACCATGGCCCCTGTGCCAGGCCAGGTGCACACCGAGTGTCGAAGGCTCTTTCGCTGCTGGCAGGAGGTCACGGGACAGATCCAGGTGTTTTGGGTTGATTGACTTACACACACACACACATAATATAGATACTTGTCACCCCATATAGCCTTGTACAGCTTGTTGGGGCAAGTGCCGTCGCGGAACACGAGGGGGTGGCGTTGCCAGCACCCCCGACGGGTGCTAATTTTTAGGCTGAGTCGACCTAGGGGAGGCCCAGGACCGATTACAGATACTCGCCGCCGATGTTGGCCACGAGCGGGAATTGAACCCGGGTCGCTGGGTTAATAGCGCAGCGCGCTAACCACTACAACTACCCTGCAGATAACACACTCACGCGTGCACACACACTCAACATGTTATATGCATTCATGGGGGGCATTGCACTATATTTAACAAATACACAGTCGTCGTGCTGGTGGAGCGTATTATGCTTGAGGCCAGGCAGGTGCCTTGTTCGTAAATGTCAAGCCAAGCCTCTCGTGCTCCCTCTAAAGAAGAAGTTGCCCCCTTTTTATAAAATAATATATAAAGAGCTTCCAGGACAGACGCGTCACACGCACGTCACTCGGGCAAATGCCGTCAAACGGTGTTGTTAGCGGTGTTGTTAGCGGTGTTGTTAGCGGTTAGCAGTGTTGTTAGCGGTGTTGTTAGCGGTGTTGTTAGCGGTGTTGTTAGCGGTGGTTTTACGGTGTTGTTAGCGGTGTTGTTAGCGCAGCGCGGCAAAGAGCTGTTTGACCGCGCGGTCGTGTGCTGAGCACGCTCCAACCACGACCCCGCACACCCGCGCACACGCGCACCCACACACCCGCGCCCCGCTCCATCATTTCTCTTTGTGCGGAGCAAATGTTGGGGGGGTGGGGGGCGAGTTTCCGTTAGCGGGCGCCTATCAAGGGGTCGGTGCGCACGTGCGCGTCCCGCCATCGCCAAGTGCTGACATTGACACAGCAGCGCCGCCGAAGGCTGAGTCACGAGTCCACCTGGGGGAGGGAGGCGGTGTTGGCGGAGCCACTCAGGGCGGGCGTTAATGGTGTTTGCCGCCGGTGTGTGCGCGCTAAGCTACCGTTCCCCGCAACGGTAGCTGCGCTACGAACCCGGCGACCCGAGTTCGATTCTCGCCCCGTGGCCAACACCGGCGATGATTTTCTGAACCGGTCCTGCGCCTCCCCGAGGTCGAATCGGCCTCAAATGAGCACCTGGTGCGGTGTGTAAACATCGCCACTGGGGAGACAAAGGCGGTCGGGCGTGGCGCTGGCCACCCACCTACAAACAGACTATTGGGGCACTTGCCCCAATAGTCTGTTTACAGGCTATACGGGAGATCTTTGTCTTTGTGTGCGCGCGTGCGAGGCCAGGATTTAAGCCCGCAGGTTCCGCGTGGATCACTCGGCAGTGCTCCGAAATAATCTCAGCTCCCTCCGATGTAATCACAGTTCCCCCGAGTTAGATATTCTACACACACATATATACACGAGCGATTGTACACAGTGTGCATTCATACCTACACGTACGAACGCAGCACACCTGTAATGTATACACGTCATGCGTTCGTATCATTTATAGCTGCGGTCGAAAATATCGACGGGCAGTGTCGGTTATGCATCTTCTCTTTCTAACCATACCTCACCACGATGGTCAGTGGGGGTTGGTGGGGGTTGAGGCGAGAGACCGGCTCCGATCTCACTTGGACGTCAACTGAGGATCCTGTGTTATATTCTTTGTTTTTTTCGGTAAAGTCATGTAGATAGAAAACAAATAATAATAAAAAGTTATAAAGTGCGATTTGTATTATTATTATTATTTGTATCTAGGTGACTTTACCGAAAGAACCACAGAATATTAATTCCTGCGGTCACGAAGGTTTTAAGTCTAAATTTGATCGTGTTGTTCTTTGACGTGAACCGCTCGGTGGGATTAACACGATGGCAGCAACCCACGTGGTAACGACCGGTCGACATCCACTGTGGTGCTCCCGGAGAGAATTGCTGGCGCCCGGAATGGATGTCCATTAATTCCGTGCCCTGTTGTACGCCGAGCGACGTCAAACGCTTTTTTTTTTACAGGACTGTGCCAGTTAATCGGTTGCGTCGCTGGTTCGTCGTCACTCACATGCTTATTCAATATGCCACGGTATTATTGTGGACTTACGAGAAGGGAAGACGTAATCACGCTAGCATGCTGTATTGCGGGAGACATAGCTCATGAGGCAGAACGTGTATATTTGACGTTTTAAAAAAAAAAAGTTATTTTAATGGAATTTCACGACACGTCCATTATTGCTCAAATTTATAAGCTAGGAAAACGTAATTTTCTGCTTATTTATTCCTGAAACTTACAACGTCTATAAACAATAAAAACATTATAATAATAATAAAAAACAAACCTTTAAGAGTTTTACTTTTTCTTTGTTCTTGCAACTTTACTGACCCGGGGGGGGGGGGGGACGGGGGGGATGGGGGCTCTCTAGACAATAGCGTGCGGTGAATCGAGTGAATCCACCGCGGTCTGCGAGTCCCAAAAGTCCAACGAATCGGATGCCACAGCAGGACAACCCCAATCAATGCGGCAAGCAGTGGCGGTGGTGGCGGTGGTGGTGGGGCGCCGGCGGGGGTGGTGCTAACAGAGACGAATGTCAGCTGGAACGGTGCCGGAACACAGCTCCGGGGAATGTTGAGGGGCAACTCCCTTCTCGTGAGGCTTCGCGGAGGAGAAGGCTGATCCGCCATCTGGCGACGTCTGCACAGGGATAGAGCGTTGCTCCCTCGTGCAAAGTATGGGTTTTCGCCGGGCGCTCAGGTTTCCTCCTCCCACATGGTATGATAAACACTCATCATTAGTTGGAATAAAACGAAACTATTTTGTATTCTACCAGGTAAGGCCCCGCTGAGCAACGTAGCTCTTTTTCTCAGAAGCGACCTGGCCACAAATGATAGCTCAACGAAGTGGCATATCACGTGGAAATTTACAGTAGCCAGATACTCTAAACGCGTGAATGTTGATTCTACATGTCTTGGTAAAAACCGGAGGACCCGGAGAAAAATCCACGCGACCATGGGGAGAGAGGAACGCAAACTACATAATAATATACAGACATTGGGGGTTGGAATCGAATCCACGACCTCCTGTATACCCGGGGAAGGAGTTAACATCTCGCCACCAGCAGGACTCAGCGTGGCTCTCCTGTATAAATAATAAAAATAGGGGAATAATAGCTGGATGCATAAATAATCTATAAGTATATTCCAATAATTACTGCTTTGGCGTGCCGCATCCATCTTGAGTTACATACTTAGTTTGTCCATATAAGATTATGAGAATATATGCTGCAATAAATATCGGATTATTATGAACAGGCGTACCTGGTACTCTCGTTACTAGTGCCTTATGCCGTTAAATCCCGACTCCACACCAGCCGAGCAGAATTCCAGAAAAGATTGAGAGAGAAATGAAGCCCTGTGGCCGTTATACGCCCATGCCTACCAACATCATCCAGTTTAAATGTTCCAGGGAAGCCAGATACAGAGGCAACACAATATATGAGCCGATAACAATGCTTCTCCACATTATCTGGTTCTTCAACATAAAAAAAATAAAAGTAAACTTTTGTTATTGACAAATCCGACCAGCCACGCGGCCTTCTGGGAGTGTGCGTGATTCAGCAGCGCTGGCTCACGAGAAGCTAACCCTCCCTGTACGGGCTTTGACATTCAGTGTCTCGCCAGCAGAATGAGCTTTCTTAAACCAACAACATGCTGGTGAAATGCAAGATGATAATTGTTTTTTTACCCTTTTATCTGGCAACAAAGCTGACACCTTTTTTTTTACAAGGAGTCATGTTTGCATTGACCACAATACCTGCGGTCGGAATGCAAACATAAAACACAACTCTGATAATGTATGTGGCACTGTCCTTGAAAAGTGTCTGAGTTGTGCGCCTTTTGGCGTCATCTGGTCCAACACCATGTGAGACGAGGCTCTAAGGAAAGCTGTCTCGAGTGTGGACCAATCAATTTTCAAGGACAGTGCCAATACATTATCAGAGTTGTGTTTTTTGTTTGCATTCCGACCGCAGGCATTGTGGTCAATGCAAACATGACTCCTTGTAAAAAAGGTGTCAGTTTTGTTGCCAGTTAAAAGGGTAAAAGACCAATTTTCATATTTTGCTACTGGCAAAGGGGGTTCTCCAATGGTGTGAACTGCAAGATGTTTGTTTACAGACGAGGTCCCATCTCTCCGTACGTTTAACTTCTTTCGCACCATATGTAGCTGACCGTGCTAATCGGAGGTGCGAAGTACAACAAACTAAAATGCAAACGGCAGTTCTAAAGAAATGAGTTTTCGATATAGACGATTTAAAAGTCCATCGTTCCAGTGGTTTCATAATATCGGAAGGGAGAGCGTTCCAGACGGCCGCATCTAAAAGCGAGCGCGATGCGGTGGCCGGCTTTGTTCGATGTACAGCCAAAAGCCGGCGCTGCTGCCAGCATAGCCGGAGTTCGCGAGATGCTTTATGCTCCTTAACGAGATGCGGGGGTC